AAAATGAATGGACTCAAAAACTGAAAATTTGCAAGTACCTTTCTTTAGCTTTAGTTGAGTCATATGAGCTGAGACACTGCCCCATTAATACGGTGAATATAATTTGTCTCAAAGAACACCCAAACCTATGAAAAAATGTTGCCAATTCATGACCTAAAGGATCAAACTTGTGGCATACATATTTTTAACCTTTTATATTTATCAAAGAAGAATCTCGGCTAAATGTGGAAAAAATAAGTTTTTACCACGACGGACAGTGCTCCAGCTATGTTAGGTCAAAATTCCAAATTTAATGGAATTTTTAAATGAGACTAATGTTTCCATATTGCATATTCCACCCTGTGATACATATTTAAAAATATCTGTGCTTAGTTTTTAAAGCAGACTTTAAAAAACTCTCATGGGCCGGCCGAGTGGCGCATTGGTTAAGAGCTGGCTTGGGACGCCAGAGGGCCCCGGTTCGGATCCCACACATGAGGGCCAGTGACACTGCCCTCTACAGCTAAGATGCTGAACAACAGCTCAACCTGGAGCTGGGCTGCCCTGAGTCGCCAGCGACGGCGTAGGCTGCAGCCTCTGCTGCAGTGGGTTGCCATGGGCTACCGTATGTAGCCAGCAGCCAGCATGAGAGGCCAGCAGCTCCGTGAGAGGCCATCCAGAAGCCGGCGACTGATCTGCCTCACCCGGGAAGAGTGCAATGATGGTGCCAACTTGGGCCAGTGAAGCGATGTCCTCCACAACTAGACTGAAGAACTAAAGGACAGCAACTTGTCTGTTCCCCTTCCCCCAATTCCCCAGCGCTGTTCCCATCCCCCAATTCCCCAATAAAAAAATCTTTAAAAAAATAAAAAATAAATAAATAAATAAATAACCCTCATGGATGGATACAATTGTTAAAATCATTCAGTATATATATGAGCAAATAATATGAATCATCACTATTTTATGGAACTGATGAAGAAATGAGGGCAATGAATTTAATGATGTGCTTTTGCCAATGATCATTGGTTGAGTCTTGGAAATTTTACAAAGAATTACTATAATGTCAATTGATGAAGAAATAAGGGCAATAAACTGGTGAAGAAATGAGGGCAACGAATTTAATGAGTCTTGGAAATTTTTTCTTTTTTTAAGATTTTATTGGGAGGTTGGGGGAGGGGAACAGCGTTGGGAAATCGGGGAAGGGGAACAGACAAGTTGCTGTCCTTTTGTTCTTCAGTTTAGCTGTGGAGGACGTTGCTTCACTGGCCCATGTTGGTATTATCATTGCGCTCTTTCCAGGTAAGGCAGTTGCTCACTGGCCATTGGACGGCCACTCATGGCGGCTCACGAAAGCTCACGCCTGCTGCCGGCCAGCCCCATAGCAGCCTACGCCATCACTGGCAACTCACAACAGCCCAGATCCAGGTCCAGCTGTTGTTCACCATCTTAGCTGTAGAGGGCACAGCATGACTGGCCCTCATGTGGGATCTGAACCAGGGCCCTGCTGCTCAGAGCTGGCATCCCAAGCCAACTCCTAACCAACACGCCACTTGGCCGGCCCAAGTCTTGGAAATTTTACAAAGAACTATAATGTCAATTGCAATTCAAGATTTTCTTGAAACAAAAGGAATGGATGTCAAATATTTAATAATCAAAGACAAAAAATGGCAGTCTGTACTAGTATTTCTCACTAATATGTACTATGTGTGAAAGAGCTAAATTTGAATAGTCAAAAACAGGAAAAGCTTATTTGTGACCTAGCTAGCCAAGCATAAGAATTTATGTTGAAATTGAAACTTCATAATACAAATCAATAATAATGATTTTACACCTTCTCCTAACATGAGTCAATATGTCAAAGATTTTAATTGCAGGTGGCTGTGTGATGTAATTGGTGGCAAAAACTACAAGAAATATTTGAAGAATGCTTTGTGATATTGATTGATTTAGAAATGCTTTTCAAAGTATGTAATGCCTCTTTGATTTAGATGTTAATAATATTGAGTTGACATAAAGAGTTAGTGAATTACTTAAGTTAGTGAATTACTTGGACAGATATAATTTTGAAACTGATATATGCTTTTGCTTCAAAGTCAAATCAATTCTTCTAAAAAGATGAACTAGTTTTGTCACTGACTTAAAGGAAAATGAAATTTTTGGTACTATATTCAGTTACTGGAAAACTTTTAAGTATGTTTAGAACAACTTGATACATTATTTCTGATGGAAAGTTAGTGTATGAATTGAGATGCTGTAAGTGTAACATATACACCAGATTTCAAAGACTTAATATGGGGGCGAGGGGGACAATATAAAATACCTCAACAATTTTTTCATTGATTACATATTGAAATGATAACATTTTGGATTTATTCAGTTAAATAAAATATATTATTTAAATTAATTTACCTGTTTACTTTTTTAATGTGACTACTAAAATTTTTTAAATTATATGTGATACACAGCAAAGGAAACAATCAACAAAATGAAAAAGCAACCTACAGAATGGGAGAAAATATATGCAAACCATATATCTGATAAGAGGTTAATATCCAAAATATATAAGGAACTCATACAACTCAATAGCAAAAAACCCCAAAAAAAACCAATTAAAAATTGGGCAAAGGCTCTAAAGAGATGCTTTTCCAAAGAAGACATATAAATGGTCAACAAGTATATGAAAAGATGCACAATATCACTAATCATCAAGGAAATGCAAGTTAAAACCATAATGAGATATCACCTCACACCGGTTAGGATGCCTATTATCAACAAGTGAAAAGGTAGCAAGTGTTGGTGAGGCTTTGGAGAAAAGGGAATACTGGTACACTCTTGGTTGGAATATAAATTGGTACAACCATAATTGAAAACAGCATAAAGGGTCCCCAAAACATTAAAAATAAAACTATCATATATTCTAGCAATCCCACTTCTGGGTATACATCCAAAGGAAACAAAATCACTATCTCAAAGTGATATCTGCACTCACATGTTAATTGCAGCATTGTTTATAGTAACTAAGCTATGGAAAGAGCCTAAGTGTGCATGGACAGATGAATGGATAATGTGAGATATATATAGATCTACGAGATATATAGATCTATATATCTATCTATAGATCTATAGATAGATATATAGATCTACATATAGAGATCTATATACCTGTGGTGCCAAAAAATGTATACATTTTAAGAGACGTTATTTATGTATTACTTTTCAAAGTTGAATTGAATTATGGTAGCAATGTGTAGTATGATGTTCACTCAAAAGATGGCGTTAATCAAATGAATGCTGCCTCGTTGTATTACAATTTTTTTTCACTGATATGTGGGATATAAAACTGAAAGCAACAAAGGAACAAGACAAAGAAACAAAAACTCATAGACACAGACAATAGTTTAGTGGTTACCAGTGGGTAAGTGGGGAGAATGGGATCAAATACATGGTGATGGAAGGAGAACTGTATTACAATTTTAATACAATTTTTTCCTTTCTTAAAATATATATACATTTTTTGGCACCCTCTGTAAATATATAATATTATTCAACATTAAAACAGAAGGAAGTCCTGCCATTTGCAACATCATGGATAAACATGGAGACATTATGCTAAGTGAAATAAACCAGACACAGAAAAACAAATATTGTATGGTCTCACTGATTATGCAATATTTTAAAAATAATACAGTGAACAGTAAAATCTTTTTTAAGAATATTAACTCATAGTAACAGAGAGTAGAATGGTGGTTACTATAAGCTAGTGGGTTGGGGAAAAAAGGAGATATTGGTGAAAGGGTACAAGCTTTAAGATAGAAGATGAGTAAGTTTAAGAGACCTGATGTACAGCATGGTGACTATAGTTAATAATAATGTATACTTAAAATTTGCTAGGGCAGTAAATATCTGGTGTTCTCACCAGACACAGACAAAAATGGTAACTATAGTCATTGATGTTTATTTGCTTGATTATGGTAATTATTTCACAATGTACACATATATCAAAGCACCACAATGTACACCTTAAATATATACAATTTTTAATGGTCAATTATACCTCAATAAAGCTGGAAAAAATAAAATAACATCTGTGACTCACATTATATTTTTTGGACATCACTAAACTAAACTAGGACTACAAAATTCTGCTCAGGAGGCTGAGACCACAGACTTCTGAGTGGCTACAAGGACAAGCCTCTCTTCCCATGTGGTCATAAACTCAGACTAATTGGTTATTGTGAAAACTAAATGGGTTAATATATGCAAACTGCATAGAAGGTCTGGCACCTAGCAAACAACGATATAAGTGTTGATACTATCATTATTAGCATTACTGATCAAGATTTCTAAAAATACAATTTAGCAGAGAAACACACCAAGGAGAGTAGCACTGGGCCTTGTTCGAAAATTCGCACATCACCAATAAAAACCAAACTGCAAAAAGCTGAGCACCCTCTGTGATCAGTAGGTCTAATGAGGGCCATGACTAGAATGAGGCAAGTGAGACATATTCCTGGGGGCGAAGTTTAAGGAGGTGCTAATATTCTAATGTAATATTTTAATAAATCAAAATTAATGCCAAAAATCCACAATGAACAAAATATCAAAATTATAAAGACAGAAGCAGTGTTACTGGTTTCTCCTTTTGCCCCTGTCTCCAATATAGCTCAGAAAGACAGTTACTGAGCCTGCGATGGTATATATATCCTCATGCTGGCCCTAGACCAACTCTTAACCTAGGATAAAGCAATCGTGACCAACAAAGGGAGGGCACTGTACCTGGCCTAGCAGTGAAAAACTGCTTTTCGTTTTTTCACTAAACAGAACAACCATTAAAGAACGAGGTCTTCAGAGCCTGGCAGGAGCCGGGCCGAGCGCAGCGCGGGGCCACGGAGCCTGACAGGAACTCCCAGGCTGCCCTGCGGCCGTTCCCAGGATGCCCTGCGCGGAGGTGGACCCAAAGCCGAAGCCAAAATCAAAACCGTCGCCGCCTATAGGACAGCCAGCCCAGAAGCGACGCCATGACTTTTCCCTGGTATGGCATCACCACGAACTGGAGTCCTGTGGGCTCCGACGTCAACAGTGCCGTCGACATCCTGGTGATGGTTTTGTACCTCCTGCTGGTCCTGGGCATCGGACTGTGGGTACGTGGAAGCCCAGAGGGGAGGGCAGGACCCTGGACACCAGGCTGGGTTTATAAATATAGGAGCAGTGTTCCTGGTTTCTCCAGTTGCCCCAGGCTCCAGTATGGTTCAGAAAGACAGTTCCCGAGCCTGCCTCGGTAGCCTCACACTAGCCCCAGCCCAGGCCAACTCTTACTCTACAATAAAGCGATTGCGCCGGTTACCGGGTCCCCACCTCTCATCCCACCTCAGAGCACCCTCTCACTCCTGCCTGTGCACTGCCCTCAGCGGAGCCCTCTCTGCCCTCCCTTTGCCTAGTTACTCCCCACCCTTCCAACCAAGAGTTAGTGCATGTCTCAGAGCGGAGCCCTACTTGACCAATCCCACCTTCTCTCCCTGCCCCAATAAACACCCGGGTCAATTTAACCTGTGCCTGCTGCCTGGAACCTAAGTAGTATTTAATAAGAAGTCGTTGTTATAATCATCATCAGGATGGTCATAATAATATCAGCTACTGATGATTAGGTGCTTAACGGCCTCACATCCTCACAACCCTGCTGTGAACAGCACACACTGTTATTGCCTCCAATTTCACATGTGAGGAAATTAAGGTTCGAAGAGGTTAAGGAACAACCAGAGAATGACTGAAGTTCAGATTCAAACCTAGAGCTGCCTGATCTGACTCATGATCTTAACTACTTTGTCTTCCTAGCAAGAGCTCACACATCAGACGTGTGTAACTTAGGGATCTAAGTGTGCTCTTTAAATTTGAATAAAGAGTTTATGTTTTCTAGTGCAAGTTTCTCTTAATAGGATAGAAACCATGTCTTTTTTACTGACCTTCACCCACTAGAGCTTAGTATGTAAGCACTCAAAAAGGTGTCCCTTAACCATACCACCCAGGGCCAGACCTTGCCCAGGAGGAGCCGGCCCTTGTTCCAGTGAAAGGCCAGATGGATGTGAAAGCTTTGGCTGGTATCATGATATTGTCCCTCAACTAAGCTGTTAACCATCAGAGGCCTCTGCCTGGCCTGCATCCACAAGCAGAAGCATCTGGTAATAATACCAACATTTGCTAACCAGCGGGAGAGTTATCGTTCTGCTGGCCCACACTCCCAGCTGAAGCTTTCATGCACGTGTGACTTTTATTTTGGGGAGCTTCACCAGGTCACAAGCAAGACCTTACTATGCAGAATCTGGCCCTTTGAATTACAACCATTGGAAACTCTTGTGAGGGCTTATGAGTGGGCAAATAGTGCAATGGAGACATGGTATCCATCCTATTCGAATTTTGTACCAGAAGGGAAAATAGAGGCCCTTTATTCCAAATGTAAAGGAGAAATCTGAGGTATTTATCCAAATCATTGAAACAAATGATTTTTTTTAATTGGCCTCAATTATGAAAAACGTCCTTCCAGGTGGCCTAGGCAGGAGTTCTGAGTAGTACTTGTTTTGGGATCCTGCTCTCCGTTGCTGCTACTGAACTAGGAAGCCCCGCCCCAGCTTTCTTCCTAGACCAGTTGGGGCCTAGGTCTGGCCAAGGTCAGAGGACTAGTAAGCCATCTGGTCACTTCCAAGGCAAACCTGCTATTCCTTCTGTTCTTCTTGGAGCCATAAAACATGCATGGTTATCCAGAATGCTTTGATCTTTTTCCACCTTTATACTATTGTCTTCCTTTGGTTCTTTTTATAAATCATGTATTGTTTTTAATTGTGAAAGTATAACATGTTTATTGTAAGAAGTGAAAAGATGTATAAATATCTTAAGAATCTGCTAATCTTCCCCATCCATTTCCATCTCTTTGAGATAACCATGGGCTGTGTATCCTTCCTTCCTTTTCTCAGTGCTTATGCAAATATACAGACACATATGTAGAGGAGTTTTTGTGTTTCATTTTCACAAAAAATGTGATCATATCATATACGATTCTTCAGCTTGATTTTTTTCACTTGCTATATGATGGAGAGAGTCTTACAGGTCAGTAGATAGAGATCTAGCTCATGTTCTTATTAGCTGCATAATATTCATAAAAATGCATGTGCTATTCAGCTCTTCCCAACTTCTTAATACTTAGATTGTTGCCAGATTGGTTTGTCTTTTCTTTCCTTCTCTTCTCTTCTCTTTTCTTTTCATGTGTTGGTGCTTTTAATCTGTGTAGCATGGATTCCGAAATTGGAATTGCTGGGTCAGAAGGGTATGGTTACTTGAAATTTTAGTAGATGTTATTAAATGGCAAGTCACAAAGATTGTTGAGATTTAACATTTCTCACAAGTAGTGTATGAACATGACCTTTTCCCCAAGCCCTCACCAGGCTTGCTTATTACTGCTAATTGTTGGTTTTGGTCTTGGTTTTGGTTTTTGCCAGTCTGATGGATGAATATTGTATCTCTGATTTGCACTTCCTAGACTCCTAGTGCTCCTAGTGACGTTGAGCACCTTTTCGTGAGTTTGCTGTCCATTGATTTTCCTCTTCTGTGAATAGCCAGTTTATTTGCCCATTTTTGAATTGGGTTGTTTGACTTTGTTATTATCAACTTGTCTGTCATTTGATGTTTTTCCCAAACTATCATTTGTCTAAGCCAGTGTTTCTCAACCTCAGCACCACTGACATTTGGGACCAGATAATTCCTTGTTGTGGGGTCCTGTCCTTTGTGTTACAGAATATTTAGAAATATCCCTGGCCCCTGGTAATTCACAACCAAAAATGTCTCCAGACATTGCTACATATCCCCTGGACAGATGGGGGGAAAAAATCACCCCTGATTGAGAACCACTGGCCTAGACTCTGTTAGTGGTGTCTTTTTTTCATTTGATTTTTTCTTCACTTTGAAGACATCAACTATCCCTCTTTTCCTTTATATCTTCTAGATTTCCTGCCTTGCTTAGAAAAAATTTGCCCCACTCCAAGTTTGTACAAATATTATTCTAAATTTTCTTGTAATATTTTATAAATATTTAAGAATATTTAACTCTCTAGAACATCTGGGATTTTCTTTTATATATGATGTGGTAGAGGAGTCTAGCTTTACTTTCTTCCAGTTATTAAACCAACCACCCTTTTCTCACTGAACCAAGTTGCCCATATTGGCACAGATGGGACTCCTTTCTGAAAGCAGTCATCAGCTTCTGTCTGCAGAGCACCCACAGGGAACTGGGAAATCAGTCTTTGTTGCCGGTGACTTGCATCTTACACTGTGTTCAAGGGGAAAAACCTATACATTTTATTATTTGTTTTCTTTTTTATCAGTCTCCACCCAGAGATTTGAGAAGGTATTGCATGCATCTTCCACCCTACCAACCTGGCTGCCATAGTTGTATTATTCCAGAAAGAGAGCAGGGAAGAGCAGAGAGGTAGGGACATGTGTTTAAGCCACCTTCTTCCCAGGATTCTTCTCCTTGTCTTGTTCTTTCTTCAATGGAAATGAGAGGATGATTTTATTCATCTTAGAACATTTTATAAATTCCTTTTAAAAGATTTAATGCACCTCTGCTTACATACTACTGATAATTTCCTTAGGAAAGGTCAGCTCTGCACGTAGTAGATCATTGATAAATATGTAGTGAATGGATGAAATGAGACTAACTTAATGTGTCTGATATAGAGTTGTTTCTTTGGTTTAAGGCTTTATGATGTAAGGGGACCCCATTATAACCAAGATACCGCAGATGCTGGTAATAAGTTCACTCTTCCCACAGAAATACATTGCTGTCAATCAGCTGTCATCCTTAGGTTATGCTAATCCTGGGCAATCCAGGAAATCCCCAGTCTGGGAATCAGAGCTAGGGACCCCGAGTAGACAAGACACCACAGTAGCAGCAGCATGACTGCTATCCCAGAAGAATCCAAGCACGTGTTCAAATTTGCCATTCCCAATTGATCTGTTCATTCACTAAACCACTCATCTCCCAGACTCTGCCAGAAACCATGACACTGGTTACTAGTTGGGAAAAAAATAAAACCATATTACTTTCACAAGAGTGTACAGAAGTGGATGTTCCCATGCAATGTCAGAGCTGGAAGAGACTAGTCTCCAGCTAGACAGCCATGAGCCCTCCTCTAACTCAGGGGATAGAGGCTTCTATTCCCAAAAAGAAAGGAGAGAATGGATTTGGGATCTCTGTTAAAGAGATTTGCTCCATAAGTAAATCATTTGAGAGACCTGTGTCTTTGAAGCAGTTTGGTTTCTTGTATTCCATTCTTTTTTGTTTGTGTTTGTTTTGCTTTGGGTTTTTTTAAGACTATACTGTCAAGAAGTCGTGGGACTGTAGAAGAGTTCTTCCTGGCTGGCCGAAATCTAGCATGGTGGCAGGTAAGTAAGCCTTTCATGTGGCAATCCACTTTGGCAATTAACTTGTTTTGTTGCTTTAATTTAGATGTCTCATACCCAAAATAATTTGAAGTTTTTCAATTAGAAAAGCCATTTCAATGGTAGTTCCTTTAATTCTTAAGTAATTTCTTACCTAAATGTTTCCATTTAACTCAGTTTAGTTCAGTAACCATTTATTAGGTGCCTAGTATGTACAAGGCATTGTTCTGGGTCCCAGGACATAGATAGGAAATAGACAATTCTGCCTTCTGGAAACACACACTCTAGAATGGGAGTTAGACATGTATCCAGTGAATTATAGTCCATTACAGTGCAGTAGAATAGGTCTAATAGGAGGCACGTGGGCCACGTATGGATGAAAGGTAAACTCAGACTTACTGGATGGAGGTAGTACTTGATGCAAGACAGCAAAGGTCTTACAGAGGTGGGGTTGTTGGAGCATGATTTGGAGGTGGCCTAAGTGTTTGCCAGCAGAGTACATGATCATTCCGGGCAGAGGGAACAGCATGACCAAAGCATGGAGGTGTGGAACAGCGTGATGCTGGATGGAGGGACACAGGGCCTAAGGGCTGGAAATATTTCTTGTGGTTTTTGTGTTAAATAATTTATTGATTATACAAAGTGCTTCCACCTGAGAGGAGTGCCCTGAAACTCCCACAGCAGTGAGGCAGCTGCCTGTCCATGGCCCCGTACCCATGGTGGGGTGGGTAGGGCTGCCCCAGGAAGGAGAAGGATGTGGGGACTTGGCAGGGCTCCGGGTCTGAGGCCCCAAGCCAAGCCTGAGCCAGGGCTTCTTTGTAACTTATGTAAAAACATATTGGGTTGTCAGAAAAGTCATGACATATTTTTTCTATGTTTTTCGTTGCAAAACTGCGTCATGACTTTTCCGACAACCCAATACATATATTCCTTGCACAGGGATATAAGTTACACTTAGAGAATTACAAATATTTTTCATCATCAAATGTTAACCAGTTCATGGCAAGAATTCATTTCTTCACACTAGGGAAACGTTTCTTAGAAAGGAGTCTCATCTTGGGAGGAGAAGGTGCCTTTAATCAAAGGGAAGAGGAACTCACATTCATTAACTCTGGTGGATCAAACAACCTAACAGAAATGGCTTTGCCTCAATTAGCTGGGAGATTTGGGGACAAGCGTTTTCCTGGTGTTAACACTGAATTATGCTTGAATCTTCTTTTTTTGTAAACCTGGTTTAGAAAGAGATTGAATGTGGCAAAGAAATGTTTGCAATGAGCTTCCTACCTTAGATTATTTTTAAATTTTTTTAAAATTAAAGTTTATTGGGGTGACCATTGTTAGTAAAGTTCCATAGTTTATTTTCAAAAGAAGATTCTAACAACCCAATCTCTCCCTGGACGTGAGGCCTCCAGTCTTTTTCCTGAGCCACTCTTAGGCCTTAAAGGAGTGTATTCGGTACCCAGAAAAATAGCCATCTGCTGCCCATGCTACCTTGTATTACTGTGACACTTGTAATGGTTTTCATTGACAGTAACATGCTTTGGCCTCCCAATGTTTATATATGTTATGATTTATTAATTTCTTTTTTTCATTATTAGGATTATTGCTTAATGAACAAAATATATTATGGTATTATTAAAGGAAATGAAATAAGAGAATAATTTTGCCACTCCAACTTCCTTTTTTTCAATCAGCAGATATCTGATGGATTTCAATTGCTCTTCTCAGGGTCCTCCATGGCTCCCTTCCCCCATTCATTCATTCATCCCTTCCTTCCCTCCCTCTCTCCCTCCTTTCTTCCTTAATTCCTCTTATTCTTGTAGTCAGTTCTCAGTCCTCATCTTACCTGGCCTGGCATTGGTGAAACTCTGAAACTCTCACGCCTCCCTCCCTCACCATTTTGTCACTTGGCTTTCCTTTCCTGCTGATTCACCGGCCACTCATTCGCGGTCTCCCTGGCTGGTTCTCTCCCTTCTCCCTGGCTTCTTAATGCTAGAGTTCCCCAGGGCCAGTGCCTGACCTCTCTCCAGTTACACTCACACATGTGGCAACCTCTCTAGTCTCATGGCATCAAATATCAATTACATACTAACACATCCCAGACCTCTCCCTTGAACTTCATACTTGGGTGTCCCACTGCCTGTGTAAAATGTGCCCTTGAGAGCTCTATCAGGTATCTCAAACTGAACAAGTCCAAAAGGAACTCTGGACTTAGCTATGCAAATCTGCTCCTCCTACTATTTTTGCTGTCTCCTGAATAGCAACTCCGTCCTTGTAGGTGTTTGGGATGACAAACATGGAGTCATGTTAGACTCTTTATTTTCTCTTACACCAATCCATCAGGGGGGGGAATGTATTTGGAATCTGATTATCAGCTCTGCCTCTAGGTTCATGCTGCCATTGTCTCTCCCCCGGATTAATTATAACAGCCTCTTTTCTGGGCTCCCTCCTTCCACTTTTGCTCCTCGTACCTATTCTCAACAAAGCAGCTAAAGGGAGCCTGTTAAAACTTGAGTCAGACCATGTCACTTTTATGCTTAAAACCCTCTGGGGGTTCCCATGTCAACCAGAATGAAAGCCCAGCTGCCTAAATGGCCTGTTTTAGGCCACAGGTCATCTGCACCGCCTTACATCTCTGACCTTGCCTTTCAGGACCCCTGTCCCCAATTCTAACCAGTGTTCTTCAACAGTCAGCTCTGCTCCTGCCCCAGGGCCTTTGCCCCTGCTGCTCCATCTGCCTGGAGGGCTCTCCCCAGATATCCTATGGCTTGCTCCCTCACCTCTTCTGGTATTCCTCAGATCTCTTAGTCTACTCCAACTGCCCAAATGCTTAGCACTTCTATTAACTTTCCTACCTTACTTTTTTTCTGTAGTATTTATCATTGTTTATTATGCTAGAAAATAACCCCCTATTTATTTTTTTTATTCTCTTCTTCTCAAAAGAATGTTAGCTTCGGGCCAGCTGAGTGGCTCGCTAGTTAAGAGCTCGCTCAAGAGTTTGAGCTCTGAGCAATAGTTCGATTCCTGGCCCGAGCTGAGCTGCCACTGAGCTGCCAACAGGTGGCAGGATGCCTCAGCTAAAAAAAAAAAATGTTAGCTTCATGAGGGCAGGGATTTTTGTCTATTTTACTCACTAATGTATCCCTAATACCTAGAACAGTCCTGGCACATAGGTCACAATCAACATTTATAATAGTTAGGGCCGGCCAAGTGGCTCAGTTGGTTAAGAGCTTGCTCAAGAGTTTGAGCTCTGAGCAACAGCGGTT